CTTCTTGGGCATACCCTGACATGTTCAACCTTTATTTTATTTATTTATTTTGTTCAGAGCCTACTTTTATTGCTTTTATGAATAACTCAAGGTGGTGAACGTGCCTAATATTCCTTCCTTCTCTATATTTCCAACAAGAACAATCATCTGAGGTGAGTTGGGCTAACAGAGAGGGACTGGTCCAAAGTCACCCAATTGGCTTTCATGACTAAAGCAGGACTAGAACTCACAATCTCCTGGTGAATTGGCCCAAAGTCACCCAGCTGGCTTTCATTCCTAAAGTAGAACTAGAACTCCCAGTTTCATGGTGATTGGCCCAAAGTCACCCAGCTGGCTTTCATTCTTAAGGCAGAACTAGACTTCACAGTCTCCAAGTGATTGGCCCAAAGTCACCCAGCTGGCTTTCATTCCTAAGGTGGGACTAGAACTCCCAGTCTCCAAGTGATTGGCCCAAAATCACCCAGCCGGCTTTCACGCCTAAAGCAGGACTAGAACTCCCAGTTTCCTGGTTTCTAGCCTGATACACTGGACCAAAGTGGCTCTCATTTCTTATTTCTGCACAATCACTGTAGCCATTTTCTATTAGGCTCTAAAGCTGTAAGAAGGGATTATCCGATTCACTTTGTAATCCTGGTTCTGTACCAACCAAATATTATTATAATAATAATAATAATAATAATAATAATAATAATAATAATAATAATAATAATAATAATAATAATAATAATAATAATATCCCAGGTCCTTGGTAAGGACTCGATAGGTAGACAAAAATGCCAAATCCAGTCTGAACATCTGGCTGACTGTGTGATGATTAATAACAATAATAATAATTTGCAAGTGGACCACCTGATAAGCTGCTGCAAGAAGATCTCACAGACTGACTACAAGCAGTGACATGACAAAATAGCAACAGTAGTACTTTGGAAGATCTGCAAGAAATATCATTTGCCTATAAGCAAGAACTGGTGGGATCGTAAAATAAAGAAAGTCATAGAAAATGATAAAATTAAACTGCTCTGGGACTTCAGAATTCAAACAGACAAGCACCTGCAACATAACACCCTGGACTTAAACAATTGTTGATAAGAAAGACAAAAAATGTCTGGATAGTGGATGTGGCAGTGCCTGGAGACAGCAGAATAGATGAGAAAGAACTGGAGAAGATAACAAAATACAAAAACCTACAAATAGAAATAGAAAGACTGTGGCAAAGGCAAGCAAGGGTAGTACCAATAGTAATAGGCCAGTGGTTCTCAACCTTTCTAATGCCGTGACCCCATAATACAGTTCCCCATGTTGTGGTGATCCCCAAGTGGGTGTGGCCACCAATAAGAGGGAGTAGGACAGCTAGGGAAAAGGGAAAAAAATGGCGGACAGCGTGATTTGGCGACCCCCGTGAAATGGTCATTCGACCCCAAATGGGGTCCCGACCCACAGGTTGAGAACCACTGTAATAGGCCCCTTGGGTGCAATCCCAAAACAACTTGAACACCATTGGCATTGACAGATTCGCCATTAGTCAGTTGCAAAAAGCGGCCTTACTAGGAACTGCTTCCATTCTGCGACGATATCTGTAATACCATCAAGCATCCACATCTGCCTGTTCCAGGTCCTTGGTAAGGACTCGATAGGTAGACAAAAAGCCAAATCCAGTCTGAACATCTGGCTGACTGTGTGATGATCAATAATAGTAACAATAACCTGCAAGTGAATAAATCAGAAGTAAAATTCTATTGGGGGGGGGCAGGGAAAGAAAGAAGGATAATTAACCACTTTTGTGATTGCTGCTCAAATGAAGTCATATAAGTAGCAAGAACTAGAACTTAGTAGATCCAGTGACAAAAATTGGCAGATTCTTAAACTCTCTCTCTCTCCCTCTCTCTTATCCTTTCCTAATGGATTGTTTGAATATGCTGATGACCCGAAATTAGGTCAAGAGTCAGATCATTACCACTTCTGGTCTAGACATCAAAAACTTGATGATCTCTGCCTAATTTGGCTGTTCTGTCCTAGATTATTATTAGAAAAAAATAGAAAGGCGTTGTATTCAATTTACAATTCACCTTTAAAACGTTCCCAAAGAAACGAACAAGGCAATGCTATTAAAATAAAGTGATGAATGAACATATGCAGATTAAACAAAACGCTTGGGACTGCAATTCCTTTTAAAGTTATTTTTAAATTTAAAAACAGTTACTTGATTGGAAGGATAAAAAGGCCAGCATTACGGATCACTTAGATTAAATAAATATCTTTTGAAAAAGATGTCATTGTTTGGCTTCAATTCTGAAAAAGCTTTTTTGGGGATAGTGCTTTGGAATGAGTGGCAATCCAGATTTGCAGAATAGTAGAATAACAAGAGTTGGAAGGGACCTTAGAGGTCTTCTAGTCCAACCCTCTGCTCAAGCAGGAAACTCTATACCATTTCAGACAAGTGGCTGTCCAGTCTTTTCTTAAAAGCCTCCAGTGATGGAGCACCCACAACTTCTGGTGGGAAGCCATTCCACTGGTTGATTGTTCTCACTGTCAGGAAATTTCTCCTTAATTTTAGGTTGCTTCTCTCCTTGATTAGTTTCCATCCTTTTCACAGTTTGTGCTGGTTGTGCTGTAATGGACTGTGTGTCTGCACACATCCCATATCTCACAGTTTGTACACACAGCAAACATTGTGGCAACAACAGAGAAGTGATTTGCCATTGTCTTCTTCCAAGATATTTTTTTTTCTATTTCCTAGTTTAGCCTCCAACTTTGACAGAGGATGATTGCCTCCCACCCATGTCCTTGCCAGCCCTGATATTGCTTAGCTTCTTAAACCCATAAATTGGACCAGTTTTTGTCGCCTGCCTAGCCATGCATATATTATTTATCCAGTTTAGCTTCTTTAAGGTTGTTCTAATACAGGTAGTCCTTAACTTACAACTGTTCCTTTAGCAACTGACTCCTGCTGACTGGGCCAAAGTCACCTGGCTGGCTTTCATGGCTAAGGCAGAACTAGAACTCACAGACTCCTGGTGCATGGTCCAAAGTCATCCAGCTGGCTTTCATGGCTAAGGCAGGGCTAGAACTCACAGTCTCCTGGTGACTGGCCCAAAGTCATCCAGCTGGCTTTCATGGCTAAGGCAGAACTAGAACTCACAGACTCCTGGTGCATGGTCCAAAGTCATCCAGCTGGCTTTCATGGCTAAGGCAGGGCTAGGACTCACAGTCTCCTGGTGAATGGCCCAAAGTCACCTGGCTGGCTTTCATGACTATGGCAGGACTAGAACTCAGTCTCCTGGTGACTGGCCCAAAGTCACTTGTCTGGCTTTCATGGCTAAGACAGGGCTAGAACTCACAGTCTCCTGGTGAATGGCCCAAAGTCACCCAGCTGGCTTTCATGGCTAAGGCGGGGCTAGAACTCACAGTCTCCTGGTGATTGGCCCAATGTCACCCAGCTGGTTTTACTGTTTAAACAGGACTAGAACTCCCTGTCTTCTAGCCTGATGCCTTAACCACTATACCAAACTGGCTTTCTTGCTAAAATTAGGTCTGCAAATACATCCCACACAAGAATATCACATAAAGGGTGGACAGTTGGAAGTATTAAAAAAAAATCAAAAGCCATGCACTATGATTACTGCATATAGAAAGAGGCTGTTCAAGAGACAGGAGATATCATGTTTTAAATGTTTAAAATACATTTGTGGGGGGGGGGAGGGCAGTTCATAGGATTCTGCACCAAGGAATCTTGCATACCAGCACTGATCTATTTTTAGGTCTCTGTATAGCTGCTGGTTTTTATTCTTCGATTTATATTGTATAGTTTAGTACATTCTCTAGGGAACAATGACTGTGGGCAGCTTGGAAGTTTGGTAAAGAAATTAATAGCGAGTTTATGTCAGGTCCAGCATTTCAGCCGAGGACTTGTTGATTTGCAATTCAGTTTATTTTCTTTCTTTCTGCCACTAAACAGCGTTATCAGCTAGAGAGTGAGTCTGCAACATTAATCCACTGACTTTCTAAATCTGCTTCCATTTTCTAAAAGGATGGGAGGCTCCAGACCTGGTATCTTTCTGTGTGCAGTTGTGGATGGGTGGGTGGGTGTAGATATGCTCACACGTGTGCATGTCTTTATTCACATGCATGCATGCACAAACATATGCACATATGTGACACTTTATGGAACCTGTCTACCTAAACATATTCCTATTCCAGCATGGAAAGGGATTTATTTAACAATTATTTATTTAAAAAAAAATCAGGTCTGCCAATTTTGTGTAAGGCTGGGGTACCTAAGTGGTAAGTGGTGGGGTACCTAAACTAAAAATATTATTTGTTTGTTTGTTTGTTTTTTGTCAGAGTCCACGACCTGTCCCATCCATGCCCACAATGGTTTTGGTAAAAAGATGACTGGTATACAATATACAAAATGCAGAATAACAGAAGGGACCTTGGAGGTCTTCTAGTCCAACCCACTGCTCAAACAGGAGACCCTCTACCATTTCAGACAAGTGGTTGTCCAGTGTCTTCTTAAAAGCCTCCAGTGTTGGAACACCCACAACTTCTGAAGGCAAGCCCTTCCACTAATTGATTGCTCTCACTGTTAGGAAATTTCTCCTTAATTCTAGGTTGCTTCTCTCCTTGATTAGTTTTTATCCATTGCTTCTTGTCTTGCCTTCTAGTGCTTTGGAAATTAGGTTGACCCCCATGTTCTTTATGGCAGCCTCTCAAAAAATGTATAAATAAATAAATAGAAGGAGGAGGAGGCGGAGGAGGAGGAGGAAGAAGAAGAAGAAGAAGAAGAAGAAGAAGAAGAAGAAGAAGAAGAAGAAGAAGAAGAAGAAGAAGAAGAAGAAGAAGAAGAAGAAGAAGAAGAAGAAGAAGAAGAAGAAAAGAAGATAAAGAGAAGGAAAGAGAAAGAAAGAAAATAAGAAAAAGAAAAGAAAGAAAGAGAGAGAGAGAGAAAGAAAGAGAAAGAAAGAAAGAAAGAAAGAAAGAGAAAGAAAAGAAAGAAAGAGAAAGAAAGAAAAAAAGAAAGAGGAAAGAAATAAAGGAAGAAAGGAAGGAAGGAAGAAAAGAAAGAAAGAAAGAAAGAAAGGAAGGAAGAAAGAAAGAAGATATCAAGTAAATATGCTTTCCATCTCACCATTGAATGACTCTGGTGGCTTACAGCATCGAAATCTGTAGCATCAAACCATTAGAAAATCAAAACATAAAAAAAATAGGTTAAAATGAACATCATTAGAAGAAGGAGGTGGATACAAAAGTCCAAATGCTCAAACCAGGTAGAGGTGGGATGGATAAATAGGGTTAAATAGGGACCATCTTTAAGGAAGAATTATATGTGCCCCTTTTTGCAAACTGGATGGGCCTCCTGTATGCTTCTTTGCTCATCCCAGGGAATGAGGAGGGGAGGCGATTAACCTGCTAAAGCACATTATCGCAATTCCCATCTGGAGCGAATGGGAATTTGTGGCTTGCACAAAGAGCAAGGGGGGGGGAGAGAGAGTCGAGGGAGAGACACAGCCGCTGTTTGCAGAGCGAAGATGCATTTATCCTGAGAAGCGCAGCTGCTTGCAGCTTTCCGGCCCTGGTCTCAGCACCAGGGCAGCTTAAATCTGTTCCTCCCCTCCTTTGCACAGACACGGAGAGGCTGGTCTGTAGGCTCCTCCTTTTTCTCCTGTGAAAAACGAGTCAAGTTTCCTCTTTGGGTGCATAGTGGGAGGGTGGTGGTGGGGTTTTTTTTTTTGCTTCACTCTGCCAAGCAGGAAGGTGCCAGTTGCGTCTCCCACACCGCCTCCTGCTTGAAAACAAGCTTGGACACCAGAAGGAGCCACAGCACCTCTCCTTGGGTGCAGCCCTGGTGAGCCAAGCCATGCATCTCAACACAACATCTTCCTTCTACCAGCTGGGATACCTTATGGGTGAGTTCCCTCTGCCCTCCGCTAATTCTGTCCTGCCTGAGGCGGAGAACCTCTCCAACAGCTCTGGGCTTGGGTCCAGGCTACACAACGAGGAGGATCTGGATGTGAACACGGACATCTACTCCAAGGTTATGGTGACCGTCATCTACCTGGTGCTCTTCTTGCTAGGGACCGTCGGCAACTCCATCACCGCGTACACCCTGGTGAGGAAGAAGTCCCTGCAGAATCTCCAGAGCACCGTGCACTATCACCTGGCCAGCTTGGCGGTCTCCGACCTGCTTATCTTCCTTCTCTGCATGCCCATTGAACTCTACAACTTCATCTGGGTCCATCATCCCTGGGCTTTCGGCAATGACATCTGCAAGTGCTACTACTTCCTGAGGGACGCTTGCACCTACGCGACGGCTCTCAACATCGCCAGCCTCAGCATCGAGAGATACATGGCCATCTGTCACCCTTTCAAAGCCAAGAGCATCATGTCCAGGAGCCGGACCAAAAAGTTCATCAGCTGCATCTGGGTGGCCTCTTTCTTGCTCGCCATCCCCATGGTCTTAATCATGGGCGAGATCTACAGGATACCCCAGAATCCCAACTCGCTGGTCTGCACCCAGATTGTGGAAGATTCCACGCTGAAGATCGCCATCCAGGTGAGTCTCTTTACCTGCTTTCTTTTAGCTTAGGGTGAGTAGCTTGTCTCCATTGTGCCAGATTCTAGCTGTACACAATGCCTACAATTCGGAGATTAGTTAATGGCTTTAAAAAAGAGAAAGAGAGAAGCAAAGACAGGCAGAGTGTGGTTTTTCTATAAATCCATAAGCTCTGCCTTGTCAGGACAGATGGCAGCAGATGCTTAAACACACACAGTGTCCTATGTTGTTTGACAGTTTGGAATTCGTGCGTGCAGCTGGTCCCTGAAGACTTGAGCCAGCTCACTAAACTTTGCAAAACAACCCTCTTCCATTTGTGTCAAGACTGTTTCACACGGTGCATTCTTTAGGAGAACATGGGGAGGGAGGGGTGAAAGGGACGTGCGCTGACAACACTTATTTCCAAACGGGTCAGTCCTAGGGGAACAGGAACAATGTGCAAAAGTCTAAGACTGTCATTCAGTGTGTACACGGTTTGTAAAACCAGTCTTGCTGCTTTGTGTTGTAAGGAATACAGTAGGATGTAAGCAGGGCTGAACATGAGTTGTTTTGGTGAAATCAGAATTGGGAGCCTCACAAAATGTACAACCGCCTACGTTGTACAAACCAACCGAATTGCACTGATTTCTCTTGTTTTTGTGTCACTCATTCTGTGAACTTTTGCTTTGCTGTGAAAGAAAGAAAGAAAGAAAGAAAGAAAGAAAGAAAGAAAGAAAGAAAGAAAGAAAGAGAGGGAAGGAGGGAGGGAGGAAGGGAGAAAGGAAAGAAAGAAAGAGGGAGGGAGGGAAAGGGAAGGGAAGGGAAGGAAGGGAGGAAGGGAGGAAGGGAGAGAGAAAAAAAGAAAGAAAGAAAGAAAGAAAGAAAGAAAGAGAGAGAGAGAGAGAGAGAGAGAGAGAGAGAGAGAGAGAGAGAGAGAGAGAAAGAAAGAAAGCTGTGAACCACAAGAGTTGACTTCAGCACAAAACAACCAGGAACATTTTTTTTCCCCTATTCATTAAACCAAATCTATAGTGATGGGATCCAAAAAAATTTCAAAACATTTAGAATCCCATGTCGCAATTGCTTTTTGAAAATAATCCAAAGAGGATGAAGAGATTTTCATTTGCCAGGGCAGTATCGAGAAGCATTTTGCTTGATAGCCCTCTTGGCATGTAATTCGTGACACTCAGAAGCAGAAAGTGTCTCCACCACAAATCCATGGAATAATTTGAAAGAGACATAACCTCCCTTGAAATTTGTCTCAGTAGTCCATGTTGCTAATTCTTCCACGTGTTTAAAGAATCCAGCTGAATGCAGTAGAACTTCTGAGAAGTCATGTGTAGAATTATACTGTTGATCTCCAGTTTCCCCTTTCTTATTCACAACCCCAAATAATAGCATTTTCTGGATGCTGCAAGACCCTCTTGTTTTATTCTCCTCCCTAGAAAACCTCCTAAAATAGAAAACAACGGCTTCAATATGAGTGTGATGGTTTTGAAGTGATGCCAAGCAGTAGATATCTATTTATTTATTGTTAAATATTTATACACCTCCCCATCCATAAAGGTTCTGAACAGATACCTCAAAACCAAATAACTCCAAATAACGGAAATAGAAATAATTAACATTACTATCATCAGATAGCCATCCATGAATTCCATGAGTTAAAGGCATAATAATAATAATAATAATAAATAATAATAATAATAATAATAATAATAGGTAGACAGAATGCCAAATCCAGTCTGAACATCGGCTGACTGTGCGATGATCAATAATAATAATAATAATAATAATAATAATAATAATAATAATATCCACATCTGCCTATCCCAGGTCCTGGGTAAGGACTCGATAGGTAGACAAAATGCCAAATCCAGGCTGAACATCTGGCTGACTGTGCGATGAATGATAATAATAATAATAATAATAATAATAATAATAATAATAATAAAATTGGAAGTACCTTGGAGGTCATCTACTCCAACCCCCTGCTCAGGCAGGAAACTCTGTACCATTTCAGACAAATGGCTGTCCAGTTTCTTCTTAAAAACTTCCATTGTTGGAGCATTCACAGCTTTTGAAAGCAAATTATTCCACTGGTTAATTGTTCTGTCAGGAAATTCCTTCTTAGTTCTAGGTTGCTTCTCTCCTTGATTAGTTTCCATCCATTGCTTCTTGTCCTGCCTTCAGGCGCCTTGGAAAATAGCTTGACTCCCTCTTCTTTGTGGCAGCCCCTGAGATATTGGAGCACTGCTATCACTGCTTGCTAAAGTAACAGAGTTTGAAGGGTCTGCTGAAGTACAGGTGGGGTTGGGCAGCATGTTCTTCAAGATAAGGATCTCTGTTAAGGGGGTCCATCCTAGGAGAGGGCTCATAGCAGAATAACAGAATAGCAGGAGTTGGAAGGGACCTTGGAGGTCATCTAGTCCAACCCCCTGCTCAGGCAGGAAACCCTATACCATTTCAGACAAATGGCTATCCAGTCTCTTCTTAAAAACCTCCAGCGTTGAAGCATTCACAACTTCTGGAGGCAAATCATTCCACTGATTAATCGTTCTCACTGTTAGGAAGTTTCTCCTTAGTTACAGGTTGCTTCTCTCCTTGATTCACTTTCATCCATTGTTTCTTGTCCTGCCTTCAGATCCTTTGGAGAATAGCTTGACTCCCTCTTCTTTGGAGCAGCCCCTGAGATATTGCAAAGACTGCTATCATGTCACTCCTACTCCGTCTCTTCATTAAACTAGACATACCCAATTCTTGCAACCTTGTTTTAATACGGTAGATTGTGATATATGCTGGTGCCTTATTTCATAGAGCTTTACAGGTGAACATTTTGAAGCTAATGCTCAGTGCAGTGTCCACAAAAACTGTTATTCTGCATAAACAGAATATCCCAACTAATAGATATGTTCTTGCATTTTGCACCACTGGTAACTTCTCAACATTCTGCTAAAGGAGCTGCCTTGAGAGCTGGTAGTAAGAGTCCTAATAGGAGACAATCAAAATGTGAGTCACAATTGCAGGAAAGACTGCAGGTTGGTGATGGGTATCCCAGCTACAGCTTGGCCATTGTTTTCACCTGTTGCTCTGTCAGAAGCTGTGAATCCAGAAGGATCCCCAAATTGCAGCTTTTTCAGCAGAAATGTAACCCTAAAAAGGCTTATCGAAAAGCCATGTTTGTTCCTGACCAGCAGCAACTCTGTCTTGGTATGTTTTAATCTAAAGTAACCTCCAAACATCAGTTTGAGATCTCCACAGCATTGGTTCAAGACCTCCCTCACGTTGCCACGTATATAAGTCAGGGGTCTTCAGCCTCAGCCCTTTTATGACTTGTGGACTTCAACTCCCAGAATTCCTCAGCCAGCGTGCCTGGCTGAGGAATTCTGGGAGCTGAAGTCCACAAGTCATAAAAGGGCCAAGGTTGAAGACCCCTGATATAAGTGGATATTATTGCAGAAAAAGCTTCCAAACCTTCACTGTTATAATTAGAGGTTCTGATTCCATTTTAGAGGTAGCAGAATACTGGAAATGCTCCCATGGAAATTTCATTCCATTTACATTTGAATATGCTACTATTTACGTCTGCATTTACAAACTGAAACTTAAATTGTGGAGAAGGTGCCAGCCGAGAAATCAGGAGGCTGTGAGTGAGTTCCAGTCCCACCTGAGGCATGAAAGCCGATTGGGAGACTTTGCGCCAATCACTAGGCGACAGTGAGTTCTATTCTCTGGATGGGTGACATTGGGTCAGTCATCAGGAGACTGTGAGTTCTAGTATTGCCTTCAGCATGACCACGGGGATGCTGCAATGGTTGTGTGAAAAAAACGGTTATAAGTCACTTTTTCCAGTGCCGTTGTAATTTTGAACGGTCACTAAATGAACTGTTGTATGTCGAGGACAACCTGTATTCTACAGTTAGGGGGAAATCGGCACAAAAAAATGCACAGGAATCAAGCTCACGTGAAATATTAATACCAATTTACAATGCCTTGGTAAGGCCAGGCTTGGAATACTGCATCCAGTTTTAGTCACCAAGATGTAAAAAAGATGTTGAGACTCTAGAAAGAGTGCAGAGAAGAGCAACAAAGATGATCAGAGGACTGGAGGCTAAAGCATATAAGGAATGGCTGCTGGAATTGGGTATGTCTAGTTTAATGAAGAGAAGGACGAGGGGGGAACATCATAGCAGTGTTCCAAGATGTCGGGGTGCCACAAAGAAGAGGGAGTCAAGCTATTCTCCAAAGCACCTGAAGGCAGGACAAGAAGCAACGGATGGAAACTAACCAAGGAGAGAAGCATCCTAGAACTAATGAGAAACTTCCTGACAGTTAGAACAATTAACCAGTGGAAAAACCTGCCTCCAGAAGCTGTGAATGTTCCAACACTGGAAGTTTTTAAGAAGAGACTGGACAGCCATTTGTCTGAAATGGTAATGGTATAGGGTTTCCTGCCTGAGTGGGGGGTTGGACTAGATGACCTCCAAGGTCCCTTCCAACATATTATTATTATGGATCATCACACAGTCAGCCAGATGTTCAGACTGGATTTGGCATTTTGTCTACCTATTGAGTCCTTACCCAGGACCTCGGATAGGCAGATGTGGATGTTTGATGGTATTATTATTATTATTATTATTATTATTATTATTATTATTATTTACAAAACTGCATCCTATCAGGAAAAGCTGCTTGCAAAAAGAGTCAATGTTCTGCAAAATTAAAAGCAACAGTACGCATGTTTGAACCCAGAGAGACAAAATGTAGTCCACACTTCAAAGGAAGATAATTTCAGATATGAGATTTGCAAAAAAAATTGGATAGTTTCCCTCATCCCTGAGGGAAGGGGGAAACGGATGAAACGCTGGGATCAATTTTCTACCATCTGGTAAGACAAATTGGCCACCCTAGACGACTGGCAGCATAATAGCCTTGTTATCCAGGAATATAGAAAGTGACCTTTTATGAAACCAGGTTATTGGTTGAAATAATTCAGTACTGACTCAGTTGCAGAAATCAAAAGTTTTTGCAGTATTTCCAGGGAGAAGGGTCAAATAATGCATTCAACTTTCCGTAATAGGAAATTTTGTCTTCCTAAATGATGGGGATTAAATCTAGGAGCCCCTTCCCCTTCTAATGAAAGTTGGGGTTAAAACCCATCCAAGCCGCTTTTCCAATTCCAACATCATCCATGGTGGATATTATTTTATTTGTCCCATTTATAGAGTGTCCATTCAAATGTTTTTGGGTGGTGTCTGGATTGGAGACACACACGAATGAAGGCAAATGAATGAGTCCCAGGATAATGTGGGTCTTCACGTAATTAATATGTGAAGTATTAATACCACTTTACAATGCCTTGATAAGGCCACACTTGGAATACTTCATCCAGTTTTGGTCACCACGATGTAAAAAAGATGTTGAGACTCTAGAAAGAATGCAGAGAAGAGCAACTAAGATGATTAGGGGACTGGCGGCTAAAACATATGAGGAACGGTTGTTGGAATTGGGTATGTCTAGTTTAATGAAGAGAAGGACGAGGGGGGACATGATAGCAGTGTTCCAATATCTCAGGGGCTGCCCCAAAGAAGAGGGGGTCAAGCTAGTCTCCAAAGCAGAATAAGAAGCAACAGATGGAAACTAATCAAGGAGAGAAACAACCTAGAACTAAGGAGAAACTTCCTGACAGTTAGAACAATTAACCAGTGGAACAA